GGAATAAAATGACAATGAAAATTGAATAAAAAGTTTTAATCGGTAATTTTGCAATTGAACAATTATATAACAGATAGAGGTATTTAAAATAAAAAGTGAGATCTCTTAATTAAGCTCACCACGAAATCTTAAGAATTTTAGAAGTATATTTACATGAATGATCATTAAAAACACTACAACTAAGTTATCACATGAACACACGTAATAAAAATAATAATTTTCTGTAATTTTATGAAGGTAGTAGCACCCATTGTTAAATGTTGTGAAAAAATATACAAGAATTGATTTCAATTTTACTGATTGTGAGCTCATACTTTTGAGTTACATTACAATATTACTAGCCATAGCGAGTGATGATGTAAACGAATTTGAGAATACTTTTACAATGTGAATTGACAAACCAAGAAATTAATTTTAAGATATCAAAGCATGTAGATATCCCTGGTAAAAATTGGCGATAGGAGCTGTGTTTCAAAATACCATAGGCGTTTTTACAGCCGACTGAAGAAGGCGATAGAAAATCATATAGCTGGCTGTAGAAAGTGGAAAAATCATACGGCCGGGCTACACGAAGCGATAAAAAATTATACAGCCGGGCTATAGTTCCTATCACCGGGTTTTACACTTTATCGCCTGGCTGTTGCTTTTTCGCCATCGGCTATAAAAGGCTATAAGAAATTGTGTAGAAATTCGTGTGCATTGTAAATCCTTAAGTTTGTGCGGAATCACCTTAATGTTTACAAAACGCACATTATATTTTCCTTTACTACATATTTTTTTCATCAATTTCTAATGAGTATAATCAATGCAGAGTGTGCTAATATTTCAAAATCATGAGTTAAAAAACACTGACTATGCGGGTATAAATATTAAAGCCAAACAGAGCGGAGCGGCGTGCTGCCAGCGCGAGAGCTCACTGGCGCCTACAAACCTAAGTGGATACTTCACGCATTGCGCAATGCGTGAAGTATCCCTGTTAGGTTTGTAGGCGCCAATGCGCGTATTTCGCGCTAGCTGCCCGCCCGCCGCGCCGCAGCGTACCACGGCGGCGCTTGAAGCAACTATTTCACACCAGAGGTATTGCACAGTATCATACGTAATTGAAGGCGCTTCAACATATTAGGAATGGAAGGCGTTCTTCAAAAGTACGGAGCTTTCCTCGCAAAATAAATCAAGATACCACGGCCCAAAAAGAGAGCGGTAGTTCAAAAACTCACTAAGTCCTAGCATCCGTTATTAGTAACGTTTAGCATACACTTTATCGCCAGGCTGTTGCTTAACCGCCATCGGCTATAAAAGGCTATAAGAAATTGTGTTGCCGCCTGTAGAAGCTATTGGGAATCTTACAACCGGCTGTAGGTCTATGGTATTTTGGAACACAGATTCTACTGCCAATTTTTACCAGGGATTGAAAAAACCGTGAGTAATAGTTCTTTATCATGATGAGCATAGCAGGATCCATTTGGTGTGTTGAGGAAAAAGACTGCATCTTGAAAATAAAAACTACTGAATTTCTTGCACGTATTTGAAACAGCATATGTACCATTGGTTTCCTGAAGCAGATAGGAGCTTTAACGGATGGGCTAATAATGATAATTCCTAATTTGAAAATCGTAGTCCAAGTAAAAATTGGTGTTAGTGCTTAGGCTATTTAACAAACCGTTATCCCGAAGATGGTTTTAAGCGTTAAAGAGACGAGTCTTAGCGGTCCTCAAAAAACGTATAGAGAATAAGCATATTCAAGTGTGGGGATTTAAACAATATATATGAAAATAAAAAAAAAGTTGAAAAGCTCTATTGATTTTTCATTCATAGAGTTCGATTGTATCAGGGGCATGTAACGGTCTGTTTTCATGCATTCGACTATGTCAAAGTTTGAAACACTGCGGAAAAATTCCCAAGATTTACATGTGCAACTTTATCGGTTGACAAAACAGCATCCACGAATTTCATAAAATCCTCAGAAATTCCGATAAAACACCTCGTGTGACACTCTCATAGCAAAAAGTCAAATCTGAACTGCGTTGTTGACGACTATCTCATGACCGTGAGGAGGACACAGAATAATGCGACACAATACAATCATTTTTCTTCCTTCAGCGTATTTGAAACATGTCGGAATAAAACTTAAAACTTAGTTTCAATTTTTCATTACACATGCCCTCATAATAGTCAAGCCTCCATCAGAAAAAAAGATAGGAAGGATGAAAGAATCTTCTAAATTTTTTCAAAGAAATGAGCAATAACATTGGATTTGATGAATTCATAAATACGTCTACGCCCCAAACTGCTTACAACTAGTTTTATAAACGTCCTTTGGAAGAATTGCATGTTTGTGAAAACTGAGCACCCATGCAAAGATGCTCAGACTAATGAAATTCTGTAGGAATGTAATGTTTTAACCCAGGGAAGATAATCGTGGCACATTTAAGTTGAGTCCCATTTTTATCTTTTCTGTTGAGTTCTTTCATAAAAAATCAAAACGTTCACACAGAAATATTCTTCATTAAGGAGCGGTATTGTATTTCATGCACTTGCTTATTCAAGTGAGTATGCTGCCACCCACACTTTTTTAAGTAATGAATAATAGGGTGCTTGGCTTAAGTGCAGACATTTTTCAGTTTGTATATTACAGGTCAAAAAACATTGAGAGTAGTTTGCATTTTTGATTCAAGATGTTGAGTAATTCAGTCTGGATATACACTGGTTGAGTACAGGATATGTTTGATAATATTAGCTAACCCAAAATCACGTTTTTCGAAAAATTAAAAACTTTTAGTGAAATGATTTATTCTTCTAAAGAAGAGTAGAAAATACGTGACCGCATACTGAATGCTGGATGAAGTGCGTATTAAGCACAATAATATTTAACTATTTGCCCATCACGAGTCAATCGTAAAAACAAGATGAATTAAGCTCGTTATCTTCTGGATGATTATTTAAAATCTACGAAAAAAGGAGGACTAAATGGGTGTATTTCTGCTAAACAGAACCAGACGCAGGTGGGAAAGAAAGGGGTGTGCTCGTTATTCCTCAGTCCGTAGGAATGAATGGGAATTATAAAGCGCCAGTGACGTCAGCGGCGACAACCACTGACGAGGCCGCATTAACTCTTGAGCCCTATCCACAAGGCTCTTATCACATGAATGCCGGTGAATCTTGGTTCATGAATGCCGCATACAGTTGTCGCTTAGTTTCTTTTGATAAATGTAAAATATTACTTTTCCATTTTCCTAAAAGGACTCAAAGCGCTCACTTTTACATTTTTCCTTATGCAGCTAACCACGTGCACACCCCATCCTCCCCACCCGTCTCTAGTTCCGTTTCGCAGAAATACGCCCAAATTAACAGATTTCACCCCGCGAACAGCACGGTAAAAATACGTTTGGTCAGTTGAGGCTGGACCTTATAGTTGTTCCAGTTGTTCGGTGTCGGTGGATGAAATGGTCATTTCTAGTTTATTTGACTAGGGCCGAATTTTAAATACCCTTTATCACGGACATGCGAAATTCGTAGATGCTTTCGATCAGGCCTAATGTACTGTCGCACTATGGTAGAACGCCGTATGAACATTTGAGTCGTCTTTCCTTTAATGACATGTTTATTTTTAAGGAAAATTATGGATATTTTCCTTGAAATTTTTTGGAACTATAGATCAAAATACAAACAAAATTCTCTGAAAAATTGGAAGAAAAATATTCATAAGTTTACCAGGGAATCCATGTTTTAACGAAGAAAATTTGGGAACGTCTGAAGGTTCATTTGAAATTTTTCCATAGCACGGCAGTGTATGCAAGCAGAAGCATAAGGGTGGACTAAAGTGCAGTCGAGACTCGCCCTAAGCAGGTTTCATACGTAAAATTTTGAAGATGAAAGATTTGAATTGTTTTAATGCAGACCTTGTCTAAGAGGCAATGGGTCAGTTGCGCTGGTCACGTAATCGTGTTTTGATCCTTAATGGACCACTAGACAAGGTACGAATTTAAGCGATCTGATACATGTTTCTTTACCAGAATTTCACGTAGAAAACGATTCACACAACGGAAATTACGGAAACCAACTCCTAACGAAGATATTGACGTTTTTATTTCACATTGGTTACGAGGAATTTGAACTGCCCGCTCACAAGAAACTCAAAACTCTACGTGAGTCAAATCGCGCACTACAACGGTTTCAGCAAGCTCCTTAATCGAGCAATGTTCGTTTCCCACCATGTTTCGTTCAAACTATTAGCAATTTGCTATGGCTGAGCCAAAGCGTCAAGATTGAGGTTGCCAGATTTGTATATCGCAGAGACTGTCATGATGACGTTTAGCGTGCGATGTGAAATCACGTAGAGCATTGAGTTTTCATGAGTAGTTAGTTTGAATTCACGCATCAAGAATCATTAAATATCTTCGTAAGGAGTTAATTTCGGTAATTTTCGTTGTGTGCATCGTGTTTTACGTGAAATTTTGGTTAAGAAACATGTATCAGAATGCTGAAATTCGTGCCTTATCTAGTGGTCCATTCTGGTACATTAGCTAAAAATAATAGCATCTGTCCAAACAGTAACTTTCAACTTTCAATATTAACTGAGATATCGCGCTCTGAAGAATCCGATATGTGACACCATCCACCGCGGTCATGCATACCATGATCTCTTCCATCTTGAATTCATCAACCGGTGATACACTCATTTGCAGTGCTTGCTGAACGTGAAAATCAAATGAAAGAAACCACGGGTGTCACTGCTGCGGTGGATGACGCGCGACATCACAAAACAGAATTTTTCAAAGCGCGATATCTCGGTTAATCTTGAACGAAGAAAGTTGCAATTCGGGTGGATCTGATTATTACTAGCTGACCCTCGAGAATTAAGCGCCAAAATACGATTCTATGACCAGCGCAACTGCCCCCATTAAATAGAAATGACGATTTTACCCGACTTTCAGGCCTAGACCAATATCTCTTTTTTCCGTGAGTATCACGCCCATTTTTCAAAACTCTACGCTGTTCCCTTCGGTGACATACAAGTCATGTCGTTCAATCTTTATATCACAAACTTATCCGTAGCTACAAACTAGGTCTGTACAACATAACCTACAATTTGTGCCAAGCCTCTGGCACGCGCCGGTATCACGAAGTCTCGTCGAGGGACTGGCTCCGGCGCAAGTGGTCCCTGGGGCCCTTGTGGGCGGTGTCGGGGGCGATCTCCTCGGCCCTGAAGGAGTTGGTGATGACGAGGATCTTGGGCCAGGACCCCGACTCGACGAGCCTGGCGGGGCGTCCCTCCGAGCCCAGGAGCTCGAGGCCGACCGAGCCGAAGGTGTTGTGGTTATCACAGGCGAGGGCGAGAGGGAGGGGGGTTATGTGGAGGGGCGCCGGGGGTGGCGAGGGCGGGTTCCGCTGGAACTTCCGGTCGGAAAGCTCCTTCATCTTGCGGGAGAGGGTCTTGAGGGCTGCGCCGGACTTGAGGTGGAGGAAGACGGCGCCGCCCCCCGGCGGGCGCCGCAGGAACGAGGAGTCGGCGTTCATGATGGACGGATAGGTCGTCGGACTCCCGTTCGTGTTGCCGGCCTCCATCGAGCCGTTGTCCGAGTTCTTCCGGCCCAGCAACCGGTTCCACGCCGGTCGAAACTGTAACATAGAGAAGAGAACAACCAAAGTTTATCACTAAGATTCCAGGATAAGTGAAGCATCTATGTAGATCCTTGCAAAACGGTCTCATGGGAGGCCCATAAGATTCCATTCAGAGATTTAATGGGAACTCATGCGGTGGGGAGGGTACACTTGTGGGATCCTATGGGATGAATGAAGAGACCGACAAAAACCTATGGAAGACCCAGAGTTACCGGAAGGGACCCTCAGGGCTCTCAGAGGGACCTTTGGTTCTCGACTGCCTGTCCTCAATACTTAAAAAACAATTTACGGGCTATATAGACATATTGCCCGTTCCGGGCTTCAAGCGACATTAATCTCAATGAGCCGCAGTTGTGCCGACAGAAACTGCAAAAATGAATAAAAGAGGAGAAAAAACCAAGAAGCACGCAATCTTTAGTTTTAACCCATTTGTACATCGATCTTTTAGAGTCAAGCACGTCAAATTCTGAGCATTTCGTTGCGCGTACACCTCGCTGCAGCACAATAAAAGCACAAAATGTAAAAGAAACATTTAAAGTGCTTTGGAAATCATTAAATTTGACACGGAACCACCAATATTTAAAAAACAGACATTATATTATTATTCTCCTTTGATACATTGATACGTATTTTTTTCCCATCAATTTAAATGAGAATAATCAATGCAGAGTGTGCTAACATTTCAAAACCATGAGTTAAAAAAACACTGACTATACGAGTATAAATATTGAAGCCGAACAGAGCGGAGCGGAGCGGCGTGCTGCCAGCGGGAGAGGCTCACTGGCGCCTACAAACCTAAGTGGATACTTCACGCATTCCACAATGCTTGAAGTATCCACTTAGGTTTGTAGGCGCCAATGCGCGTCCCGCGCTGGCCGCCCGCCCGCCGTACGGCGGCGCTTGAAGCAACTATTTCACAACAGAGGTGTTGCACAGTATTATACGAAATTGAACGTATTACGAATGACAGGCATGCTTTAAAAGTACAGACCTTTCCTCGCAAAATAAATCAAGATACTTATCGTACACAGGAAAAATCTAAGAACCTTTAGCTGAGGCAAATATAGAGGTTCATCCGGTTCAGGTATGACAAGGTGGGAATTACTTGAAAGATAATTGAGTCCTGTTACACCAAAGAGGTGTAGAGAGTTTTAGTGAATTTTGTCTCATGGAATTGACGCTCCCCCATTTTTACCAAAACTCTCAACTATATATTATTCTCCGTTGGACCAAACAGACAAAACACACTGTCTATCACACCTATTGCATTTGTTGCTAAATTTTTCAATGTATGGGTCAAGGCTGAAAATATTTTTTTTTTTTTTTTTTTTTTTTTTTTTTTTCAAATTTAGTGAAAGAAAATGAGTTGAAAACTGAGTATAAACGCTTTAATATGTAATTTAAGACATTTGTATTGAGATACGAACATGTAAAGTCCGATATTCTGTCATTCTGAATAATTTGCGAGCGACGTCCTCAATTTCTTGGTCTTTAAGAGCTCCATGAAGCTCAAGATAACCAAACCAATTGAAAATTGATCCTCTAGTATCCAATCGCGCCGTATTATACGGACCGGACCAGATGTGCGAAATGAAATTTTTCGAGGTGGACCTCCCTTTTGCTGATACAAGCTTGTAGAATTTGCAGAGGCTGGGTATTCAACAAACAACCAAGAATTCGACGAGGTCTTTTAAAACTGACCGATGATAACATTTTTCTTTCAAAATTCAAAAAACGAACTCCCACTCGTATTCAAGCTTTTAATCCTACACCTTGAAAATTTTGATTCGCCCTAAAGGAAACACTTAATAAGGAATGGACCCGATTGATGGTTAAGTAAAGCCGGTATGACTTGTGGAATAAGATACGCTCATATATTAAACAGGCATTAAGACTATTGAATACAATCAATTATTTCGATTTTATTGTAAACAATTTAGGTATGTTAGAATAGAAGTTTAACCTCCAAAATCGCTGACGGTGCGTCCCTGACGCCTCAGAGCATAAATGACATCTGCTACCATAACAGTTTTTCTCCTAGCATGCTCTGTGTAGGTGATGGCATCATGGATGATATTTGTGAGGAAAATCTTGATAATATCGCGGGTTTCTCTGTAGATCAGTTCGGAGACTCGTTTGACTCCAGCTCGGCGGGCCAATCGGCGGATGGCAGACTTGGTGACACCTAAAATTTTATCACGGGGCTCTTTTTTCTGACGTTTGACTCCTTCTTTTCCGCGACCTTTCCCTCTTTTTCCGCGACTGCTCATCACGTGGTTGCTTCTTCCAATTGCGAGTGCAAAAAGACAATTTCTAAGTTTTGATCGAAAGTAATCGATCAAAAGTTGTGAAATTGATAAAAAAAAAATCACCAATTCAATTTGCCCGCTGTCATTGAACTTGATTTAAACTGCCGGAACTAGAATTAACCTGGCGGTATTTCACGAAGCTGAGATGCCTACAGCGCATGTAATTTTCTTACAGGAAATTAGATATTTCGAAATTTTCTGTAAATGTTTCCGACGAAGAGTATTTTCAAAAAAATTAAAATAAGTAATAAAGATTAGTTTGCTTGTAAGGAATAATTACTGATAGAATTTTGGAAACTGCAGTTTGGCCGTCTTTTTAGTAACTGTCGTCCCTTTTACGTGCAGTATCAAATTGGCGGTTAAATAAATATACTTCGTGGTTTCCTTCTTTTCTTTTAAGGATGAAGATAATTATATGTTGATTCACGTGACACAGATCAAAATAAGATTATTCTGATGGCTGTAACAACACTTCAACACCTTCAAATTGTTTATTAGTTGCACACCGATCCTTAAAATAAAGTGAACTTCGTAAACCGTTCCTTATCATGCTCTAAATCTGATTTTGCTCCACCGGGCTTATTATTGATAACGACCAGTGTCTGATAAAGTCCATTTCCGTGATATAGTTGTAATTCTCCCTCTGCCATTCCCTGGTCTTTGGTGTGGGAGTGGACGTATTTATTGAATAAAATACACAAAAAAAGCTCGAATAATTCCAGAATCACACAACTGAAAAACACAAGAAAATGGGCGACCAAGGCTAAAAACAAACAATCAGAATGCCTGGGACATTTTGGGATGGTTTCAACCCCCTCGTCGACTAGGGAAGAGAACATTTATAAAATAATAAAAAACAAGAAGCCCTTAAGACTCCCATTTGTGATAACCTATGTTAACCGTGTAAACTGTGTGTGTGTGTAATAACCGTGTTATCACAAATATGGGAGGGTTTATATAGTGGTTTAATGATCCTTATAATTTTATTTCCAATGTAAGGACCAATTCTTCGAAGATCTGAATGATGAAATACTGAACGTTGGCGCTGGCAGGGAAGCCATTCTTGTCGGTGATTTGAACAGCAGAACGGGACGACGAGTAAACTGTAAAGTTGTTGGACCGTTTGGGGAGGATGCTGTTAATTATAACGGTGATCGGCTCATCTCAATTTGTTCTCAAACTGAGATGAAAATTTTGAATGGCTTTTTTCAACACAAAGACATCCATAAGTATACCTGGGTCCAGCCAACGCGAGGATTGAAATCCATCATCGATTATGTAATTGTAAAGCACACTACTAAGTTGAAATTGCAGCAAGTTAGAGNGAGTACCGAAAAACGTGGCAACACTGTTGAAGAAGTCTTAGCGCCGTATAAACGTAGCGCCGAAGAAGAGAAGCAGAGTGCCGAAAGAAGTGGCAACCCTGTTGAAGAAGCCTTAGCGCCGTAAGAACGTAGCGCCGAAGAAAAGAAGCAGAGTACCGAAAGACGTGGCAACCCTGTTGAAGAAGTCTTAGCGCCGTAAGAACGTGGCGCCGGAGAAGGGTACCGAGAGTCGTGGCAACCCTTGTTGAAGAGGTCTTAGCGCCGTAGGAACGTAGCGCCGACGCCGAATGAAGGAAAGGAGCGCCGAAGTACTTAGTTGCTCCGATTACTTACCATGCTTACTTGTAAGGGGAACTTGAGACAATGATCTCAGGAGGTAGGTGAATAAAGAGACTTGATACAATGAAATCGAGAATGATGTATGAAATAAGTGGGCAGAGCCCAGGTGAAACGGGTGCGGGCCCCATTGACGGGATGGCCGCGCACGGAGCGCTGCCAAAAGGCTCCATTTGAGCCCTTCAGCTTGAAATCCCGGTAAAACGGGTTGAAAGTCTATGGGTCATGTGCCCATCACGCCAAAAGGCAAAAGGTCGCAGTTTGTGGCCTTTAATTTGCCTTAAAAGGGACCGCAACGGCAGAATTGCGCCGAGCGCGCCCTGGTGGCGAATATAGCAAGCGCGGTCGCAAGTGTGCTCGCCGCGCAGTCGCCCGGGTTGCAAGGAGGTGGACAAGCTGATCCTTAACAGTTTATATAGTGGTTTAATGATCCTTATAATTTTATTTCCAATATTTCTGTTTTTTAGAAGGGGTTTAAAACACCTTGAAACGTCCAAGGCATTCTGTTTAAATATCTTAGACTTTAAATCATCCTGATACCGAGAGAGGGAAAGAGAAATGAACCATCTCGCCAAGAGTATATTAATATAATGAAAATCCGGTACATGGCCCAGGGACCTATATGGTATATTCTCCTATATGATATAATTCGGAAATGTATGAAAATAGCTTTAATAGAGCGGTGCATCCTCGATGCTCCCGAGAGGAATACACGTGAATGAAAATTGCGTGGCAGAGTATCCGTTCCCTTCCCTCGCGAGTATCCAGGTTTTTAGTAGCTTGAAGTTACGAAATAACGCGCACAAGTGTACATGGCCCTCATGTTCAGGACAAGAAAAAGTTCATTCAAACTAAACGATTCAAAAGATTATTCGTGGTTCTCGGTTAGGTAAGATTTGGAGCCTCAACATACCATGGAGCAGACTCACATTGAAAAGAAAAATGGTGGTGACTTAGGGTGGAAAGGGGTTGATGTGAGCGTTTAATGGTGGAAATGTTGCCAGCCTTGGATCAGAAGCTAAGATACAAATGTGTATACGAATTTCATCCACATAATCGGTTTCAAAATTAATTAAATACGCTTTGCAATAAAGGAACGGATATAAGGAAGGGGTAATAGGGGAATAATAGGAGGATTCATAGCTCAGTTTTAAAGCGCCTATCTGCGTAGGGATGCAGATTGCACTTATTTTTTTCTTAACATGAGCTAGAAATAGAAGTTTCTTGTAGCAAAACGTGGTTTTTTTATATATCAATATAGAGTTATAGACCATACGTAGTTTGGGTGGATTCCACGACGATACAATCACATAAAACTCCGTTTCCTTTAATTTGTAATCTTTTGAATGCGTCCTACTTCACATTAAATAAAAAATAAATATGAGCCCTGAAATGGGTGCGGTGGAAGTAACGAAAAACTCCAATTTTCTTTCTGACCACACTATGATTTTTCCTTTTCTCTGAAGTAGAGCTCATTATAGAAGAAACGTGAAAAAACAAAAGTAAAAAATAATAATAATAACCTTAACAGAAATGGGAAAGGTAAAAGACTGAGACAAACTTTGGCCATTTTGTTACGCTGCATACTGTAGTGTGCGGCGCTTTTGTCAGTGTTGTGCGCATGAACAGTTGCATCTCGTTAAATTGTAGGGGCTTTACACACTTCGTCGCTCCCTCAACGTAAAGGTAAAGCCGTAACTACGTTTTGACATGAACCGCGTAACCGTATGCTTCCCTATGCTTTCCAGTTCTCTCTTTGATATTGAGTTACGCTCTTTCATCACTAAAGCGACGTCTTAACGGAAGACTGGTCTCTGCGTCCGCTGTTAACGGTTCTTACACAGAGAATTCTGTGCCATCGATCGCCTTCAATGCGTGCTTGGGCCGCGTAACACCATGTAACATGTTTTCATGTATCAAAGTAAATAGAGCGAGTAACTCAGCCAATGACGATCAAGAAAACTGCTATTCTTCCTTTTGGTATCTTTTATAAACAATCGATTGAGGAGGAAGCCTAGCACTTTTTTGTGTGAGACAGAGCACTGAACGCATTTCTGATTGGATGAGCAATCTTATGCTTCATTTGATTACTTTTGTAAAGGGGTGTCAGACCCCACTAGGAAGCAAATGTGTAATTAGGAATCTTTGCGACCCCCTCCCTCCACACCCGTCTGTGGCACTACGCCCCTCCATTCTAATTCCACACAAATTCTGAGCAACGCACTCCCCGCCACATGTATTCTAATTTTTGCACCCCACGTAACGCTGCGCCCCCCCCCCCACCCNGGTGGGTACGGCAGGTGCAATAGTTGCACCACTGCTAGGAAGATGATCTAGCCACGCCTATGCTTGCGAGAGTATCCGTAAGTTTCTATGACTAATTTGACGACATTTTGCAATTAGGAACTACAGTTTCTGGCTCATCTGGAAAAAACACAAACGTGCAAAGAAAAACTAATGATACGTGCGTTGATTCTAAACTGAGCCAAAAATTGTAGTTCCCGATAGGTCACTAAATCATTGAAGAATTTCGACAAGCGAATACAGTATGCTGAATATAAATAACCCACAGAGCATTTTCTTTTTTTCTTTTTTCCTTTTACTTCTTTTTTCCTTTTTTTCTTTTTTCTTTCTTTTTCTTTTTTTTTTGTTTCTTTTTTCTATTTCTCTTTTTTTATTTCGCTTTTTTCTCTTTTTTATTTCTTTTATTTATTTTTTATTTTTTTATTTTTGTCTTTTTTCTTTATATCTTTTTCTCTTTTTTTCTTTTTGGTTCTTTCTTTTTTTCTATCTTTTTTTTCTTTCTTTCTCCTCCCTCAATTTTCTATTTTTCCCTTTCCTCTTGACCTTCATCTGCCATATAACCTCCTTCCCCGGCATTAAGACACACTTGAAAATGTGGAAGCTCGGAAGATTCCGCACCTCTTTTGGAGAGAGGGAGAGGGAGGGTTGTTGGACACTGAGATGGCTTACCTGGGTGTTGAGGGCGACGTAGATGATGGGGTTGTAGCAGATGCTGCTCTTGGCGACGATGGCCGGGATGACGGAGAGGCCGGGAGAGACGAGGTCGTTGCGGCCCCAGATGGCGACGAGCATCGAGAGCACCGCGTACGGCGTCCACGCGATCAGGAACGCCACGATCATCAGGCCCACCATGTACACCACCCTCCGCTCCGCCCGCGTCACTTGCCGCATCCCCCGGATGTTCTGAACAATCAAAAAAAACACCCCGCTCAGCCACAATGGAGAATTTGCACGAAAATGTTTTGATGCTTCGTCTGAAAGTGCTTAAAGAGCTGATTTCACAGTATTTTTTATATTTTATTTATTTTATATATTAATTATGATATGGGAGATAGTATAAAAATATATTTAAAAGTGAGAAAATGCACCACCTTTTGACGTCATCTGGCAGCATTTTCTGTTTAAACACACGTATTTGGCGCACGTTGTAGACGCCTGGCCGCACGGCCGATCTCATTATTTTGTACCCGTTTACGATCGTCAATTACGAATACCAATATTCAGTAAGTGACGCGATAACTGACCTATTCCCGGGAAATATCCAGAAATGCATTTTTGCCTTGACTGGGACTTTTCAGGGGAGTTCTGGCGTCGACAACTCATGACAACCTGAAGTCTAATTTTACATGTCTGAATTTCCCTGGGAAGAAAAATCCACCGTGAACATTCCTGCTCTGATTCTTTTTTCAGATACCGTTATTCAAGGGAAAAGAGTGATTTTGCGCAGAGTGTTGCATGATCAATTTTTAAAATTAAATTTGGGGATCATCTTATTGGTCATTAGGTGCCTCAGCTCGCTTCGCGAGTGCGCGGGAAACTTTCAAGAGCAGTGTTGAAAGTTTCGGATTTTTTTATCATCTGGACATCAACAGTTTTTGTTTGCAACAAAAATTAAGGAAATCGGTCCGGCGGTTCTTCAGAATTGGACGGATTTCTGCCAAACAGAACTATGTGCATTAAGACATGAGCCCTGAGACCCATGAGAATACATGCATAGCAAGGCTCACGTCATAATGCACATAGTTCCGTTTGACAGAAATACGTTCAATTAAGGATCACAAGGTTTCGACTCTTACAGTTTTATTTATATAGAAGATAGTCCGATGCGCTAGCCTCTTGCAAGTAGCAGTCTCTGAGTGAAATAAAGAGTAAGAAGTGCTGGCAGGACACCCCTTTCATCCCCAGATGTCTCAAACAGTTGCGAGGCGTGATTAATCAATTATCGATTTTTTCCCATTTGATGTATGTCTAAGAATCGATTATTAAGGTGTCTACTGCGAACGCTCTGTTTATCGGTCCTGTAAAAACTTTACAACACTGTATAGTTTTTAGTTGCTAAGTGATTTCTCCCTGCTGTTCTGTATATGCTGTTGATATATAAAAAGTTATTGCGATTCAGTTTGGTGACCGGTATTTGAGATTATTTATTTACTGATTAGTTTAGCTATTGAAAATAGCTCCATTTGGTGACCCCGACGTGATTATTTAGGTACTCGAAATCTCTAGTCAAAGTAAAAACTAATAAGGAATTAGAGTGAAGATGAAATGTTTGTAATTGAGATAACCTAAAAAAAAGAGAGTATAAGTAGACGTTGCGTTTAACACTTTGACAAGAGATTTCGAGTAAATAATCACGTCGGGGTCACCAAATGGAGCTATTTTCAATAGCTAAACTAATCAGTAAATAAATAATCTCAAATACCGGGGGAAACCAAACTGAATCGCAATAACTTTTTATATATCAACAGCATATACAGAACAGCAGGGAGAAATCACTTAGCAACTAAAAACTATACAGTGTTGTAAAGTTTTTACAGGTCCTTTTCCATAAGTTTAAATGACAGATTAATCAATATATCGCAAAGCACGCCACGCCACTGGTCTCAAAGCAACCTACGGTCTCGATCGATTTAATAAAAAAATGTTGTCGATCAACCGAGTCCTTATGGTTTATCAAACAGAAAAAGTAGCTGAATGTAAACCTAAGTAACCGAAAATTCTTTACTGGGTACCTTGTCTTTTTTTAAAATGGTATATTGCCATCGGTGTTGTCCAGAACTTTGTATGCTACAATATAAAACTGAGTGCAAAAACTGATGAAAAGCCCCCGAGGCTCAGACCGTAATCAGTAATAAAGGTAAATTATCACATATGAAAGTCGACCTCTGTAATTAGCCAAATCCTCTGTGTTGAGATAAAGCTGTGTACAAAAGTAGGTTTGCCAAACTGTGTGAGAACTCCAAGAATTCAGTTCGTAAATTTTGGTCTACCTTCGCAAAAACATCGCTCACACGTAATTTAAGTGTTGAAATTTGGAAAAAAAAAATATACAAACAATGCATACAGAAAAGTACGGAAAATTTTAACAGAGGTATAGCAAATTCCATCGTGAGTTTACTTGATTTTTGAAACCGTGATATTATATAGGGTGAAGAAAACCATACTTGTGGTAGCATTTGCTACACTTTTGGTGAGTGCAATCAGAGTTACAATATTTGCTACCGCAGAGTTTGTTGGTGTTCATCATACTTATAGCACTGTGAACCATACTTTTTTTCAGTGTATCAGAGACCGACACGGACACAGTAATGCTCAAAAAGCTCTCTTTAATGGATACTCCACGCAAACTAAGACACGGTTTAATTTTGAACACTCTGCAAAAGGAATCCACAGCATTTAGAGAGCTAAAGCACCTTCAATTTTAGCATATGCAACACGGGCATCCTTCGAGATCGAATAGTCGCATCCAGTCGTCACTGTTAATTTTATACTGTGCTGGGCGGATTTGATGACTAAATTAACCACATGAATGAGGAACAACTACTTCCGGTTCATCCATAAAAATACCTGTTTTCCTATGGGACCTAATGGCGAATATCTCATTTCACTGATGAGCTATAATCAGTAGTTGCTCATTGCTAAATGGACTGATTTATGCTAAATGGAACTATTTGCATGGGGTTTGCGTGTAACAAAGTTCCTTTTAACATTAATAGGTCCAAATCAAGACCAATGTTTCTTCAAATTGGAGATCCCCACGTTCATAAAAGCGTCATTAATGGCAAATTTGACGGCGCACTCTAACGAAAGAAATAAACTTCTTTCTTTTACTAACTTATGGGTCAATTTTGAACTTTTTGATACACTCAATGTGTTCTAGGAAAATTTCTCAGGAGTGCATGTCCTGAAATTTCTACATAAATTTTTATCCTGTCTATTGGTGCATCTTATTAATCGATTAAATTCGGTTATTGCAATGCAGGTACGGACGGTATGGGTTCGATCGAAAAACAAAAACGTGAAACCGATGATTTGATCGACAAAGCTTTGACGGACAACTTTAAATCGATCGAAAGCCCCGCCCGTGAATCAATCGAATTTTGTCGATCAAATCGGTGCGTCGATCGGTTCAAGTGGATTGAATTGACACTGGGTTTCATTAATTAACTATTCATCGAATTGGTGGCAATCGAATCGCGTCTGTCGATTCGAGTTTTAATTTTTCGATTAATTCATGTCGTTTGAATCCATACCCTCCTGCGGGCTGCTTCTTACACTTCGATGCCACTTAGAATAATTTTAGTTTTTTTGAAAAATCCGATTTTAGTGCTCAACTATGAAACACCGTGTCAGCTGGGGAATATTCAATCTTCATCCCCTCGCCAGTCTAGCGACGAACTGACGTTATCGGACTCAGATAATCGCTTGGCAGTAGCGCCCTCGCACTTTAGCCGGGAGCAAATACTTGTAAACATGGCTGACCGATCGTGCACGGATTTTCCAACTAAACTCTCAATTTTAGTTGGGACTCCAGAAATTCTCCTAAAATTTCACAAATACACTTAAAAGCCAAGTAGTGCGGGCAGAATCTGATGCAAACGCTATATCTTCTGTGTACGTTAATTTTGACCGTTTGTGAATTTATGGGGAAAATATACTGTTGTTGGATGCCTCATCGCCTTTCCCCAATAAAATCTAAAAGATTACTAAAAATATAGTTGCCGTCACTACTGGACGGGGCTCTCACGTTCTTGTGCCAAGGAAGCGATGAATCAGTAAAAATCTAGTAATGAAATAGGAATATTGATATATATTGATTGAATTTAACAACTAAAGAAAAAATATTCAAATTCAACAGAAACGGAAAATCGGGTGAATAACAAAACACCATACAATTTGCTTTTACTTCTTTTTCCTCTTTTTATTTGGTCTTGAATCTCTACAAGAACCCTACTAATTGGTACTGCGATAATTATTGAGCTAGGCAATATTTTTTTCCAATTTCGCAAAATGAGACTTTTCCTTTCGGCAAATCTTTTGAAAACGTCCCGCGGAGACATGCCTCGTACCTAGCAGGGCCACTGTGCTAAAGAAGAACGCCGTATGAGCTTTCAGACGTTGCAAAATCACTTGGAACGAATCAAAAATTTCGTGAGAATTTGTCAAGAATTCTCACCTTTTTCGGGAAATGTCGTTCCTAATTTGATCTAAAGCGTAAGAAAATTTCAAAGGGCAATATTCATAACTCTTTTCGAAAATAAATATTTTCTAAGAGGAAATTTGGCAACATTTGAATGCTCATACGACATTTCTCCCTAGCACGGCAGAAGGATATTGCATGAACTGTGAAACGAAAACAGATATTATCTAGATTAGCGTGACAATTTTTATATGAGGCTAAATTTGAAACAAATACCAACTAACGATGTGAGCTACAGAATGAGATCAAGGATCAAACAGATGTTTTCTAGATTAGTGTGACAATTTGTTGATGAAGCTAAATTCGATGTTAATGGCAACTAAAAACGTAGCACGGAAAAAAAACAAAACACGAGGGTTGGTGGATGATATGGACATTTCCAATTCATTTTTGTAGCACCCCAATTAATTATGGTAGCACTCCAGGTAGTATCCCCAATAAATTAGGTAACCAACCCAATGTTGCGGTACCACCCCAAATTGAGTTGCGGTACTACCACAATTAATCAGAAATGTCAATATCATCCAACAAATTGGGGTAGTACCACAATTTTAGGGGATAACCCCTGACACTTTTTTTCCGTGAGGAAACAGAATGAGATCCAGGAGTAAACAAATGGGATTTCAAGCGGGGCGGAAGGAAGGGTGCAAGTTTAGAAAACGGCTTCCACTTACCCGCCTCATAGTTCGGACGATCCCGACATAGGAAACTGTTATTACTATCACAGGGACGAAGAGCCCGAACACAAAAAGGAAGACTATGTAGGAAGTATTATTCACATCCTGCCGCTCCCAGTTCACGGAACAGCTGAAACACACAATCTCCTCGTTACTCGTTACAATTAAAACATACAAGCTCCTACCGACTCTCGGCTGAGCACCAAGCAATAAAAGCTGTTACGATGCTCTCGCCCTGTTTCGGTGGAGACCTATGATTTGAAAATGAATCAAGGCAACACACAATGAGAAAAATTAACCACGTAGACCCCATTGAATCAGTGAGAACTCGAAAAAATGAAAATAATCAAGACACACACAAAACTGCACAGTGAGTGAAGAAGTTAGTCTAAAAAGAAGATTGTTGGTTCCGAAGGACAAGTACTAAAGGATTCTTTAAAGGTCCAAACTGGAACAGATGCGCTAACTTCAATGACCTTTGTGAAAATTGAATTTCTTTAATGAAAATTAAGCATTTTCAAGTTACAGAGTTGGTGTGTTTCCGTTCTCATTGATTCATTTCTAGGCGCCCCCATTTTGGGGTTTCCACGAGTCATGGGCCAAAGTCACTTACAACTTTCCGAGCTTTTAGATAAGTCCGTAAAGTTTTGTTCTAAAATTAATCCTCATTGAGAAAAATTGGAAAATTCGGAGGAAAGTTGAAGTTATTAGACCTTGGGGGAGGGGGGGAGGTAGGGCTAACCCCCCTCTCCATCACAGTAAAATTTGCATGAACAAAAAGATCTAATCCCACAAGTCACAAGCTTCAATGAAATCACTATACATATTCAAAATTCGGATGGGGAGGGGGCTTACCTCTTGCTGGCCCGCGGCCTATTTCTTACCGGAGACGGTCCCAGTTCGTTTTTTTGACAAAAATTCTGCAACTCTGCACCCCGTCCCCAACAGGCGACGCTTCAGGCGCCCCTAGTTATCGCCTGCCCTGCCCCCTGTCCCCCAAATAATCTGCCTATTATAAGAGTTGATTTTCGCCGAAGAGACTCACGACTTGAAAACATGGCACTTTTCGATATCGCCCGGATCTTGGAATTACGTTTCATTAAGTTCTTAGAAATTATAATCCATTCCTATGTCGAAGGCCGCGTACTTTGAGTCGTGTTCTCGGAACTTGGGTGGAGAATCCACGCTGCCGCGTCGAGGAAAAACGTCGTATGAGCATTCGAGTGTTGCCGAATTTTCTCTCAGGAAGTAGTTATTTTTGGAGAAAGTTATGATCATTCTTCCTTGAATTTTTTAGGGCCCTCAGATCAAATGACAAACGAAATTCTCTGAAAATTGGAAGGAAAATATTTACAAATTTTTCTGGAAATTATTTAATTTTTAAAGGAAATTTGGCAACGGTTGAAGGCTCATACGGTGTTTTTCCTCGACACGGCAGAGCTACACGATGCGGTGCGAAGGTCTTTGTTCGTTCAGATTTCCCTCTCGCCTCTGAACACCGCAACTTCCTGAGATGTGCCGAGATATCGCGAAAGTCTAACTAGAAACCGGAGAATCTTCACCAGATGCGTAAAGGAAGGCAGCGTTCTTTCCAACTTTGAAGGAGGATACATTTACGGAACAATACACTGAATCAAATATTCCGTAACGAGAGACGATATATTTTATTTATAGACGATATATTATTTTTTATTTAGACCCCGCACTAACAACCGGAGCATTGTAATCGAATAAGACAAGTCATTTCAGAGGCCAACGCTTCTCTTCACCAAATAATCATTGATGTACACCTTGTCTAACAAACAATCGAATGAAATTCACACAATGATGATTGATGAATGCTGGAGTCAGAGACAAAGAGAGACCCTCCATTGGTATCCCAGCAATTGTGGAAGCCTTTATTTTCGGGACTTCAACACGCAACTGCTGACCTAAATCCACTTGGTGGATGTTCAAAAACAATTTGAGTGTTTCGTTTAGCAAACAAACCGAAGTTTGGAGAATGGATTTGGCTCATTATGCCACCCGAAGCTCTCTATCTACCAAGTAGGCAGACCAACAGCCGAAAAAAAGGTGATGATTGTTGCTGCCTTACAATTGTCCACAGGAAAGTGTCGAATCCCTGAAATAAAAGGTTTCCACCTGTCGCCGAGAGGTCCCTGAAAAGTCTCTGGCCGAGGTGAATGCTCTGATATGCGAGTGAATTTGAAATCTTTTATTTCACCTTAAAGTTGATGTTCTTTTTAACAACAAATCTATGATTAAATATGTGTTAAGTATTAATTATGCCACATTCACAAAATAATTGTGATGTTTGTATCAAGATTACTTTATACTTCAAATGGTATTTGAGTCAACAACTCTGACTAAAAACTACTGATGATTTTTCTTCTGTTTTCACGCTTATGTAGCTTACGTATATTGTGACCATGGCTAAGATGACCAAACGGAGCTTTAGAGACTGAGATATTGAATGACATCAGATCAGTGACGAGACGGCGAGACGTGAATGATCGAGCAGGGCCGGATTAAGGGGGCTGCCACATGGGCCGCGGCCCATGGCGGCAAATTTTCACATTTTTTTAAATGTAGGTATAAAAAAATCGGATTCAGAAAAAAAATTATCAATGAGGAAAGGAGAAAAAACCTCTCTTTCCTGAGAGTATAGTAATTTCAAATTTTATCGTTTTTCGGTGATAAAAGAGACAGAATCTTTACTTAGTCGAGTTAAGAGAGGAACTAAACACGCAATTTGGCCTGAAGCTCAGAGCAGAGAGGAATAATGACGAGGACTTGAGATGAAAAGGACAAGCCCTCGGCACTGCGGTCGACATGTAACACATATTAGCGCCTACAAGACTGCGTGAATACTTCACGCATTGCGTCAAACACAGTGCCGGTCAGAAGCAGTTGGTGTGAAACGCGTAGCGCCTACAAGACTGCAGGAATACTTCACGCATTGCGTCAAACACAGTGCGATCAGCCCGGCGCAGCAGCGGAAGTGAAAATTATTAAACCATATCTATGTTTGTTTTTTCAATTTTTTGGTTCATTTCTGATAAATGAAGGACCTTGTTCACACAGAGATATGTTTACGGAACTTAACGTTCGTGCAAAGTTCCGTGAAATTTTGCTAGTAGTGTTGACAGGCCTTTCGCAAAAAATGTACTCAACACAAGTAGATAAACGCGTCTTATGCACCTTTCCCCCTCCGACACGTTCACTTGATGGTTTTCATTGATATTTCGAATAAAATGATAAAGGGGCGGCAGAAAACAGGCGGCCATGGGCGGCAAGTAGGTAAATCCGGCCTTGTGATCGACTATCGATATTGCCCGATTTGAAGCTATGGTAGAGAATCAATTATCGAGGTGTTCGTTACGAAAATCCTCTTTATCGATCCTTTTCCATTGTTTTAAATGACAGATCAATCGATAATCGCAAAGCACGCCACGCCACTGTTACGACCGTGTTAATATATGGGACTTGCTTGCGGCAATCCAGCAGAATGGGAGTAAATCGAGCTCTCTCGCCTAATTATTGTGCCAATGTTCTGTCAATACCTTTGTCGCTTTAATTTTTAATAGGTAGGCAAAAACAGTCACCGCACGTCGAAATAATTGGAACAACGAGCCAGATTGAGATGCACGACCCTGCATCAGAGCAGTTCGATACCTCACAATCTTTGAGGATCTCATCTATCATCCGAAAATGGACGGAATGATTCCGTCTATTGAAATTTGGTCATATAGTTCCATTGTTTGACAAAGACGAAAATACCCTCAAAAAAAAAAAAAAAAAAAAAAAAAAAAAAAAAAAAAAAAAAAAAAAAAAAAAANAAAAAAAAAAAAAAAAAAAAAACTTGAACTATACTGCCGTGCTAAGAAAGAACGCCGTATGAACATTCGAGAGGTGCCAAATTTCCTTCGATAAAACGTTAATTTTTGAAGAAAGTTATGCATTTTCTTTCCTTGAAATTTTCAGGTACTTTACGTGAAATTGCGAACAAAATCATCTAAAAATTTGGAAGGAAAATATTCATAAGTTTACCAGGAAATTTGTATTTTATCCAAAGAAGTTTGACAACGCCTGAAGGCTTATAAGGCGTTTTTCCTTAACACGGCAGTATAGTACATGGTTTCTTTCGGCACAACAAAAGTCAGTTGTTTACAGTAAAAGGCGTTCTGAGCGTTTGGTTGGGTCACGCAACTAAACTAACCTCCCGGAGAAGCGAGAAGTATCGACAAATTTGAAGGCGTTCAAAGCGTTTGGTTGGGTCACGCAACTAAACTAACCTCCCGGAGAAGCGAGAAGTATCGCCATTACAAAAAAAAAAAAAAATAAAAAAACCCCTTACAAATTTTCATGAAATTTAGTAAATTCTTCTTTCTACGTCAGATTTTGAAGTTGAATCTTTTCTTTCTCTCTCAAGGACTGCTTAATACTTTGTGACAGATTTTCAACGCAGTCGTCGAGGGCGGCTGTATTTTGACGGGAGAAAGGGAGAAGAAAAAGGCTTTTAACTCCGATAAATGGACGTATTTCTATCAAACGGAACTATGTGCATTAAGACATGAGCCCTGAGACCCATAAGAATATATGCATGACAGAGCTCACGTCATAATGCACATAGTTCCGTTTGATAGAAATACGTCCAAATGAGAGGGCGCCTCGCAAAACTCGTTAATGACTAAACCTGAACGAGCACGGCGGAGGAGCGAGTGCTAACGTTGATATATGAAAAGGAAGTCCCGTGAAAAGAGAAAAAATTAACGAACGCATTTATGAATAAGAACAAACTCGCGCGATTTGCGCAGTGAGTAAAAAATGTGTATGGAGCGGCTGAAAATCAGTGACTGAACCATTTTAGGACCTGCTACGGAGTGTCTCCCTTCCTCCACCTCCACACACCTCGAGCGAATTTTATTTACAAGTCGCTTTTGTCTCCGATTTCCGAGGCAATGTCAAGTTTTTATCCATGACTGTAGCCCCGTTGACTCCCTCCCCCGAATCCACCCTCGGCTTACGAGCCAAACCGAGGAAGGAATTGTTGACCCTGGAACGCTCGTTTTCGTTCTAATTGCGATATTTCGCGTTATTCTCCAGACGAAAGAACGAAGTTGTATTTCGGCGTTCCGAAATTTCCACTCGAGGATTGGACGTATTTCTATCCAACGGAACTATGTGCAATATGACGTGAGCCCTGTTATGCGTATATTCTTATAAGTCTCAGGGCTCATGTATCAATGCACATTGTTCCGTTTGGCAGAAATATGTCCAATTTTACTTTGAGTTAGGAACTGTTGGGCGTTTTGGAGAGTTTTACCGGTGTTTCTCAAAATATTGTCACATGCACAAATCAAAAAGATTTTGTACTAAAATTGCAGTCTTACTCTTGTGAAAAATGTAATTGAAAAAAAAAAACAATTTTACAACATTGTAATGCAGTAACGTTCTTCCGTCTGAGAAACGACGATTTCGATGGTGGAAGTCTACAAACACTTTTTTTTTGACATTTTAAAATTGGCACATTTTATTTGTTAAAAATTAAAAGGACAAAATTCGTACTTGGAATTGGATGTATTTCTGCCACACAGAACCACGTGCATTAAGACATAAGCCCTGAGACCCATAAGAATATATGGGAATATATACATACACAGGACTCACGATATAATGCACATAGTTCCGTTAGGCAAAAATACGTTCAATTGTTATTAATTCTCCCCGTCCTATCCAGAATGTTCTGAAAAAAAATCCCTGAAAATGACGAAAAAAGTAAATAACCCTTATAATTGAGCAAATTTTATTTTAGTTTTGCTCGACACTAAGTTACGTGTTGACCATCATTAAGTAAAAATGGCATGAACCTCCGAATTTAGCTTTTGACCTACCCAATTTCACCCCTTAGGTTGTTATTGTGGGGCCCTTAACATATATCGTCTCTGTAATTAACTTTTTATTACATTCCAAGACCCTTAAGCCTTCCGTATCCCGTGAAGTACAGAAATAGCCCCTCCATCTGCAAAATAACGTTGCGTAATGCTATACTGATTGTTTGCAGTGCAAAAATGAGATATTTTTCCATGGTGCGTCGGGCTTCGTTCAGAGAATGAACTGGTACTTTTCAAAATCCAGCAGCATCATTTCCCATGGAGCCACGGAACCGGCGAGGCTGGATACATCCCGTGGCTCATTAGAAAACAGATGGGCTACGATTTGACATAGTGCCCTGCTGCGAGCCTTTCACTTTTTCACCCGCTTCAGAAGGAGATACGCTTTGTAAATTGCTTCAATGCACTATTACCCACTGCTCACTTCCCGTAATGATGCCTTATGCTTCCGTGCTAAGAAAAAACGCAGTTTAGCCGCCGGACGTTGCAAAGTTTCCTTGGATGAAAAAATTATTTTGAAAGAAGATTTTGGATATGTGTGTGCCGATTTTTCAGGGCATTTCACACGCTATACCATGTGAATTCTCCGAGAATTTCAACACGAAGCGTTCGTAGCTTTTCCTGAAAATTAATATTTTATGGACATAATTTTGGCAGCATTTGAATATTCATACGGCGTTTTTCCTCGGCACGGCAGTATAGGCCGCTCAGAGAACGAACTACAGTACTGAGTAAAAACACCGTATGAACATGTATGCGTTGTCGCATTTCCTTTGAATAATACAGAATTTTCCATATGCACGAGGATTTAGGATTTTGATTTTGATATTCTTAAACAATTGTTTTTCCTCTCAATTGGCAGGTAAAACTTTACAATAGTCCCAATAATCAGATCAAAAAGTTCTATTATCGCCACTCCACTCGAAATAACTCGAGTCAAATCCGTATTATTTACCTCTTAAAACACCAGTAGGCCACTAAAACGAAGTTAGAATTAATGCACAACGTTAGACTTTTCTTTTTTAAAAAAATCACGTAGAAAACATGCAACAGAAAGTGCCAAAATCCAATCGGATTTGGTGATCGTAAGATCAGAGCCAAGGTGAGTTATGACTGGTATTTTCACTGTACGAAAAGAAAAATCTCATACAGAGGACAGAGCAAAATTCCCCTCTTGAAGTTGTGCCATCTCGCGAAGGCTAGTTCCTTTTAATGTGAAAGCTTTATTTTTGCTCAGTTATTTTCGTTGCATGAATCGTGTTTTACATGGAATTTTGAATAGGACATCTGTATCACAATACTTAAATTTGTAACTTGTCTAGTGGTTCACGCTGCCGTGCTAAGGAAGAGCGTTTAATGAACATTCGGGAGTGGCCAAATTTCTTTGGATAAAACATGTACATTTCAGGAAAGTAATGTATGATTTTCCTTGAAATTTTCAGATATCTAAAAGTAAATTCCGAATAAAATTGTATGAAAAGGATTAAGAAAAATATTCACAATTTTCTACGCCTTCTTGGACACTCACCCCTCTACTCACTGTGTGCCCAACATATTTTGTACATAGCCCCCCTATAATTACTTTTTCATTCATCACTATTTTTAATCTTTATTTCTTTATTTTTACTTACAACTGGCAATTTCATTCCACCCCAAAAGTGCTCAGATCATTTTAAGTTATCTTAAATTTGAAGTAAAATTGTAAAAAGACCTACTTGTGTGGTCTAAACAAACAAAAAATTTCTACGTAAATTTGTTTTTGATTGAAAGAAACATGGCGACGCCTGTTGGCTTTTACGGCGTTCTTCCCCAGAACGACAGCAAGATTTGGAAATTTTGACGAAAAATATTTTTGAGTCTCTCAAAAATGAATGTTTTTTACGGGTCAGCTTGGCAACACTTGCATGCCGATACGATTTTCTTGCCTAGCGCGGCGCGGCGCGGTGGTGGAGTGGCGCGTCTCGACTTTTGAAAATCCGGGCTCGAAGCTAAACCATTGTCATTCTTCATTAAGAGTCGGAGTGCGTTTCGCTTTAAGCCGTGCACTTTTAGCGCGAAATCAGACGGGGGCCCGACTCTCGGGGAAGTGTCACTCGAGTAGCAGCTGCTGCAAAGTTGAAACGTTTACTCAAAGATTTCCCTCGTTTCTTAAATTGATAGTCGCAAGAGTCGTTCATAAATCAAAGTTCGTAATCGTAGGGCCGTAACCTTACTGCCTAGCTTAGGAAAAACGCCGTATGACCATTCGAGAGTTGCCAAATTTCCCTGGAAAAAACATTAGTCACAATAGATTTATTTAAAAAAACAGTAAAAGTTGTTGCTTGGTTTTGAAAATTTATATTGAAAGACTACCGCTTCCAATAAGCGTTTTTTGCCAAGGCAAGTCGCGTTTCGCAGTGGCGAGGCGGGAATGATCGATTATCGATAATCCCTATTTCCAGCTGTGGTGAAGAATCGATCATTAAGGTCTTCATTGCGAACATCCTGGTCATCAATCCTTCTCTGTGGGTTTAATGGCAGATCATGAGATCAATCGATACATCGCAAAGCACGCCACGCCACTGGCGTTTCGGTGGCTACCCAGGCCACCAATTCACGTATAATCTATTCATATTTTTCCATATAAATTTTCAAAATTAAACTTTACATGAATTGACAACTGAGAAATTGAGGAAAAATGCTTGCAAATTTTTCAAAAAAGTGAGTTTGTCAAGGAAAATTTGGCAAAGTATGAAGGCTCAAAGGACGTTCTCCTTGGCACGGCAGCGTGGTAAGCAAGAGCTGAGACCTCCTTGTTACACTAGATTCAATTAGAGTACCCGTTTACGTTAGAGTATTGCCATCTCTGTGCCGCTCTCTGATTGGTTCATCAGTTTTAGGTTATCACGAAGCGCCAAAGATGGACAAATGTAAACAAACCGGACCCAGAGAAATGCGTATTATCGGCTGAGCAATGAATGATAATCACACTCAAAGCTTAATTTTCGGCAAAAATTTCATTAAAGGTCGATCCAAAATTAATTCAGAAGTTGATCATAAAAAATGTCTATCATATCCAAAATCACGTCTAGAACTTTGTCGCCATTGTGTTTGTTTACATTGGGCCAAACTAGAAGCGGAGGGGCTGGGGTTTGTTTACATGGGTCCAACTTTGGGGCTCCATGATAGCAAACCAATCAGAGGGCGGCACACTTTTTCTGTAGTAATAGATGGGAATACTCTCCTGTATACAGGTATTCTAGATTCAATCGCATGGTGTGCTCAGAGACAAGAGATACTCTCCACTAGTATCTTGACCATGGTGGAAGCTTTTATTTTCGGGACTTCAGCATTCTGCTGTTGACTTACCTACATGATTGATTTTCAACAACGTGTTGGCAGTTTCGTTTTGCAAACAAACCGAAAATGGCCGACGTTTGGGAAACTTGTTTGGCTCATGACGTCATCCGAAGCTCATCATCAACCATGTAGGTAAGCCGAAACTAGGGTGACTGTTGCTCCCTAATAATTGTCCATGAGGAATTGTTGAAACCCCGAAAGTAAAAACTTCCATCTATCGCTAGGAGGCCAGTGGAGGGTATCTTATCTCACGATGCGTTTCACGCGTTTGACAGATGACGAGAGGTTAGAATAGAGAGAGCATACCTGATATTTGCGGACTCGTTGACGTACTCGCCCCATCCGACGAGAGGCGGGACGGTGACGACGAGGCTGTGGACCCAGCAGGCTCCGATGAGCCAAAACGCCCCCGTCCGCGTGGTCAGTCGGTGGGCGCAGAACGGCCGCGCGATCATCAGGTACCGCTCGAACGCCAACACCGTCAGCGTCGTAATTGCATTAATACCTGCACACAAAAATAACAACGCGTTTAACCTGGTTTCTTGCAGAGAACCTCTTTAGTGAGGTTATGGACATTAACCTGTGTCACACTATCAAAACACTCCATCAAAATGTCAAGGTCGAGTGCTGTGATGGTCAAAGTCATCTAATAAGCCAATCACAGCGACCGACCTTGATATTTTTATGGCTGCCTTTGATGGAGTGACACGGACAATTTTCGTGCTGAGGAAAAACGCCGTACGAACATTCAAGGATTGCCAGATGTCCTCCGATAAAATGTTCATCCACGGGAAAAGTGATAGGGGATATCCCCTAAAATTGTAACACCACGCAAATTTGTCTGATGACATAGTCATTTCTGATTGATTCTTCCAGGCTAAGGAAGAACGCCGTATGAACCTTCAGAAGTTGCGACATTTCCTGCAATAAAACCTTAATTTACTGGGAAAATTTTGAATGTTCTTATTCAATTTTTTCAGACAATTTTGTTCCCAATTTGTTCTAAAATGCCTGAAGATGTCAAGGAAAAATATGCATCATCGTTCTAAAAAATGTAAGTTTTATCCGGGGAAATTTGGCAACTCTCAAATGTTCATCAGGGCCAGATTTACTTACTTGCCACCCATGGGCCGCCTGTATTTTGCCACCCCCTTCTCATTCGTTTTGAAACATCAATAAAATCCATCAAATGAACGTGCCAGCGGGGAGGGGTGCATAAGACGCGTTTACTCGTGTTGAGCACATTTTTTGGGAAAGCCCTGTCAACACCTCTAGCAAAAGTTCACGGAACTTTGCGCGGAAGTTAAGTTTCGTAAACCTATCTCTGTGTGGACAAAGCCTTCTATTCATAAGAAATAAACGAAAACATTATGAAAGAACAAACATAAATGTGGATTAATGATTTTAACTTCCGCCGCCGCGCCGCGCTGACCGCACTATGTTTGGCGCAATGCTTGAAGTATTCCGACAGTCTTGTAGGCGGTATGAGTTTCACGCCGACCGCTGCTGAACGCACTGTGTTTGACGCAATGCGTGAAGTATTCACGCAGTCTTGTAGGCGCTATGCGTTTCACGCTGATCGCACTGTGTTTGCCGCAATGCGTGAAGTATTCGTGCAGTCTTGTAGGGGCTAATATGTGTTACATGCCGATCGCCGCGCCGAGGGATTCTCCTTTTCGACTCAAGTTCTCGTTATCGTTTTTCTCTATGTCGCGCCGTTCCAGGCCAAACTGCGTGTTTGGTTTCTCTCTTAACTCGACTAATTAAAGGTGCTATCTCTTGTATCACTGAAAGACGACAAAAGTAGAAATTACTGTACTCTCAGAGAATTAGAGATTTTGTCGCCTTTTCTCGTTTGTAATTTTTTTTTCTAAATCCGAATTTTTTTATACCTACATTTAAAAAAATTGCAAAATTTGCTGCCCCCTATAGATTTGCCGCCTAGGCCGGCCCATGTGGCCACCCCCTTAATCCGGCCCTGATGTTCATACGGCGCGGCGTTCTTTCTTAGCACGGCAGAATTGTGGTAGTGCTGCAACATTTGTGTATGTAACCTGATTAATTGGGGCACTACCACAATTAATTGGAAATGTCTGAGCTCTGACTTTACCTCTACCTCTTTTTTTGTATTTTTGTGATTATTTTTAGGAGCATTTTGAACATTTCCTCTTAATATGTTCAGATGATTTAGACCTGGTCGCGAAAAAGTCTTTGAAAAATTTGAGGTATAGTATTCTTGTCTTTTCCTGAAAACGCATATTTTATTGAAAGGAATTTATCGAATTTTTTTTTTTTTATTGACAGCATACTGCGTTTCATGAACTGCGAAAATCTGGAATCTTAAATTTTTGATGCGTTAATTGGCTGTCAAGATACAAGACCTGGGACTCTGAAAATAGAAGGGCCCTGAAATGGACCGCGTTTAGCAGAAAGGAACCAAGTCGCATCAGTTATTGCCAAAAACTGGGAAATTTAATTTTTTACAAGAGAACGTTTACGCAAATTCCATTGAATATTTTAAGGAAAATGCTTCGCACTTGGCAGGAAGTTCACTGAAATTAGCAAGAAAATCCGCACGTTCGTTTCCTTGTAAAAAATTAAATTGCCTGATTAAATTTGGCGATATCTGATGTGGCTTGGTTCCTTTCTGCTTAGCGCGGTCCAAATACTCTTTGATCATTTTAAGTGTAACAATTCTTCTTTCTTGGAACGGACCTTTTCGAAAATCCTTCAAACGTCTATTTCCGCCAACGGTGCGACGTCGATCTGTTGAACGCTGGAAAGTTAACTTTTTCTCATCCACTAAAACGAGGACTGCGAGGGGGCAAGAGAGAGAGGACTGAGAAAGCTCATCCTAGTTTTTCAACTAAGCAGCGAAAGACTTACGGAGTTACAGACCAGGGTTGATGCCTGCCTGGGCTCAACTCACCCTTGACCCGAATTATGACAGAATTAAAGCGCAGATGCTCCTTCCGTATTACCTCCTATTTAAATCAACTGGAATTTTCAATCCCCAACTTTCCACTGGATAATTAGAGTGCTCTGAGGTGTTCGCCTGGCGCGGCGGCATTCGCTCCCGAATCTCGCTGATGGATCTCGCGTTTTCACCGGTTCTTTCTCATCCGGACACCGAGCTTTCGAGGGTTTACTCCGACGCACTGAGTTCATTCGGCAGGATGCACTAAACGGTAATCAGTAGGGTGGCGTGCTTTGCGATATATCGATCCATCTGCCATTTAAACCTGTCGAAAAGGATCGACTATCAGGGTGTTCGCAACGAACACCTTAATAATCGATTCTTTACCATAGCTTCAAATGGGGGAAGTATCGATTTATCGCAAAGCACGCCACGCCACTGACGATAATCGTCATTTCCGCGGCGCGTTGCAGCAGTGATTATTTTCTCATTATTGGCTCCGGTTTTTCGTGCAATGGGCCACTATTTGAATTAAAGCACGGCGTTTCCCCTTCGAAATTTAAACGTAGAAAGCTATTCACGTAACGAGGAATTTGAGAATAAACTGAACGGGTTGCCTACTTGAAGAAGGGCCCAACTGCCATAGGAGGGTTATTGATAAAGGCTGCTTTGAGGCCTATTCTATCTGAATTACCTACACTCTACGATTTTCACTCTCTTGTTTTGCTTATTGAAGGTCTGTATTTTACTAGGGGGCCCTGCCCCCTGACCGCTACGCGGTCCATCCCCCGGGAGGGCGCCCCGCGCCCTCAGGCCCGCTTCGCGGGCCCTATACGCATATGTACAGGCAAAAATGTTCTTCCATTTTAATACACCATTTTGTGTTCTAGCTGCATCGATTTCAAAATTTTTTACGTAACGCTCAGATTTGTAAATGATGAGAAATAGCTGGATGTACATAATTTCACAGTCCACTTACTGGAGAAACTTCCATTTATTATGTTATTTTTAAATACTTAATTTAAAAAAAACAAAAACAAAATCGGATTTCGACCGTTAAGAGGTAATGATATTTGGTCCGTCCCGACGCGACGCAGCGCCTGCCTTCTCACTTTGTAACTGCTGTTTATCTGCTGTAAATGTTAATAGAAATTTAGCAATCAAGTAAATTGACCAATTTCACAAATCGAAGCCGGAAGAATGCAGGAAAAATTGAGTTAAACCTTATACTTTGGACCTTGAACCTTGAACCCTGAGCGATGCACTGTTCCTCAACTCTTCGAATGAGGAGCCCTTCACGAGCCTTTCCATTGTTTTATTGTTTATTCGAGTGACTCAGGTAGAATCCCACACCTTGACGTTTCTAGCGGAAACGACATATCTCTCACTCTATTAACATTGGACTTAAGTGACATGAGCTTTAAAAGCTCTACAACATTAAAAGTTCGGGGTTTCATAATTTTTTGCACATCTACTTCTACTGCAGATGACATAGGTACATGTAAAGATCATCCTTATCGGTCCGGCAGTTCGTCAGAAATAGTGCTTCCAAGATTTTGCTTGTAGCTGTATAATATAGAGATGGAATCACGGACAAAGATTGTTAGGGGTTATCCCCTAAAAGTGTAGTGCTGTCCCAATGTGTCCGGCGATACGGACATTTTCAAACGAATTGTGGTACCGCAACTCAAGTTTGAGTGGTACAGCAAGATTTGGGTTAGTAACATAATTTATTGAGGTGCTACTACAAATAATTGGGGCACTATAATTAATTAGGGCACTACCACCATTAATTGGAATGCTCATATCATCCAACAAACTCGTGCTCTTTTTTTTCGTGATAAATCATTATTCGGTTATTTGAGTGTCTTTTTGAGTGTTATACTAACATAAACATAGGTGAAAAGGCGGATAGTTGCAAAAAGTGCGGCTTTTTCGTCAGTCAACCGCAAACCAGCAAAACCCGCATTTTTCGCTAAAGTCAGATCCACGTTTAGGCCGGTACTAGAGACCTAAACTGATCCTCAGTGGGCAAAAAATCGTAGGGTTGGGGAAATTCAGGGTCGGCTTAAAATCGGCCCTTATCTATACCCCTCCTTTTCAGAAATTGAGTTTTCGACGCAATACTATTTATTGAGAGTGGACGCAACTAACTACCAAGCGATTCTACCAAGATTACTCTTCAAAAGCCTTTTTTTAACGTTTGAAAATCGATTTCAGTGGGAAAAGGGCGGAAGTCCCGCGCCACATCGCCCAGCGCAGAGTCTTCCCGATGATAAAACCCACGAGTAGAACAAAAACTATGATTTTTAATACTACCATCAAATGAGCATACTACTTGACTGTCATAATACTGCTAAAACAACACAAAACTGCAGGGAAATCGTACGAGCGCAACCTCGAGGTGTAGCAGATACTGACTAACGCTCTATTAAATGTAAAACAAACATCTAATCGCAGTGAAGATATGTCACAAAGAAAATCATATTATGTTTCTTCAATCGCCCTCGCCGTGTAAGTCCGTCGCTGTGAGCGGGGAGAAAATCGAATGTGACACGTCAACAGATGAAAACCCTTTTCTCCCTCCA